TTAACTTGAAACACAAGTATATTATATATTTTGTTTGCGCTTTCAATACTACAAAGTAACATGTGGCTTACTGGTTATTTTTCTTGTCAATTTTATGTTTTTGAAGTCAAATTTTTTCCTCATAAATATTTTTCTTGTCAATTTTATTTTTTTGAGGTCAAATTTTTTTTGTATAAAAAAAATGAAAGGTTTTTTTATCAATTTCGTTTTTTGTCAAATTTTTTTATTATCAAAAAAATGAAAGGGTTTTTTTATCAATTTCGTATTTTGTCAAATTTTTTTCTTATCGATAAAATAAAAATTTTCTTATAAAAAAATAATGAAAGGTTCTTATCAGTTGTCAAAAAAATAAAAATTAATAAAAAGATATTCTAAAAAAAAAAGTTCTTATAAAAAAAAAATAATACAACAAATATTTTTTGTCAAAAAAAAAGGTTCTTGCTAAAAAAAAAAAAAAATGTAATAGGACAAACATTTCTTGTAAAAAAATAAAAGGTTTTTGTCGAAAAAACTAAAATGTTCTTATAAAAAAATCATTCTTTATTGTAGTCCATGTATGATTATATACTTCATCCATGATAGTTCTATGATTTTTATTTTATGTGATTTAATTTAATGGTTGAAATAAGTTCATGCAGAGAAAAAATATTTCAATATTCACATATTGATGAAAAATAAAAATTAATAATATAGTACCTCTATTTTTTATTGGTATCTTAAAAAACAACATTTATAATAAATTTTAATAATTTTTTATATTTTTTTTTACGATTTAATCTGACCGATTCGGTCGATTTTTGATCCGAATCGTCGATCCACTGATCTGGATGGATTTTGGGATGCCCGATCTGGGCCACCGATCCGTTTTTTAAACCACCATTAAAAACCGTTGGGTTAGATGTCAAAATCAAGGATAAAAAAATTTATATCATACAAAAGATGGTAAAAGAGATCTTCCCTTTAAAACAGAGAGGGATCTAAGCACAAATGATTAAATATGATATGCAATAGAAACTATTAAAGGTACCCACGATTGGTTTCTGATAAGAAACAAAAAAAAAAAAATTCTAAAAACGAAGACTCAGCCGTCCTCATCCAAAGAAAAACACAATATGAAAAGGACAGGCCGATCTAAGTTCGGATGAAGCATTATCAAATGATGACATCATGCCATCCACAAGTACGAGAAAACATGCAAAAAAATTATAAAAAAGACGCATAACCTCATCAACCAGAAAAAAAAAAAAAAAAAAAAAAAAAAAAAAAAAAAAAACGTTTAAATGAAAATGTTTTAAATGTTGTGCGGTTTTTATTGCAATTTTCTTCTTCTTCTTCGTTTTTTTCCCAGCAGTTATTGTTGGTTACTGCTATGATCTTTCGAACATCAACAGGGAGTACAGATCATTCGTCTACAACCTTGAATAAGGAAGATTAACGTGAACCAAAAGAACTCGAGAAAAAAGAAAACAAAAAAAAGGCACCCAAAAGATATCTTGAAAAAATTATGAAAAGAGGAAAATAAGGTACCTGCGAGAGAAGTTGAAGGGAGATAGAACACCAGAGGCATCCCTTGCAGCCCAACCCACAACCTTTTGAGGGTGCTCGTTTTCTGGAGAAATCGACATTTTTTTAGAGAGAGAAAGTGGTGAATGTACTATCTTAGAGAGAGAGCGGTGAATGAACTCTCTCTTCTCTCTTTACTCAGGGGTATCTTTTAAGTATGAAAAGAAAGTGTATATTGTGTATGGGATTAATATAGAAAATATATATTACGATTAATATTTATGGGAAGAGTTGATAGAGTATCTGCATTTTATTATAAATTTAGATATGGTTTAGATACCTACGATTTAGTGTCTATTAATGGCATTTGACCCTCTTCACATTAAGCAAGAGTGATAAATGAATACTTTCTTCTCTATTTTTTTTGAAAGAATTATTTTTTATTTAATTTATTTTTTCTTTTGTTCACGATGTAGTAACATTGCATATATATATATGAAAACTCTTGCTTAGTAACCAGATCTAGTTCCTCCAGCTACCTTCAGGAGCACCACTGCTCCTTGAAGAATAGCGGGAACCACCACCACGGCTATAACCGTCACCGCCACCATCACTATTTCCATAGCCACTGTAGCGGTTATAGCCACCACCATCACTTCTGCACCCATAGCCGCCACCACCACCACCACTTTGGAGTTCTTTCTTCTCTCTCTTAATCACAAAAAAATCACTACTTTCTCTATTTATCAAAAAAGAAACTCTCTCTCTCTCTCCCTAGATGGGAATGAGGAGAAAAATAGCATATAGCACGAGAAGGGTGGTGTTATAATTCTAAAGGAGGAGGAGAGCGTGGTGCCTAAATGGCCACCGCATGGGCACACACACACACCTAGATGGCCGACCTTGCCGGAATTCTTATAGAGGGGTCGTGAATGTCGATGGGAAAGGGTGATATTCGATGCATGTGTTTAAATGCGTCCCCTCTTCAAAATCTATCTGGAGATTTTGGTTCCAAAATTAATTGGGCAGCCATAATTAATATGAAATTAATAAATAAAAATAATATAATTTGAGGAATTCTTTATTTTATTTTGATAGTAAAAAGTTCATCTTTGAGAAGACTTGGACATAACGACTTCACTGTAGTTTTTGTCTGTCATCTTATTAGCAGAGACGATGGTAACAAACCCGGCCCTAGCTAACTTTGGAATCGAAATCAAATGCTTTTTCGTATCGAAGCAAAAAGTGTTTGTTTTAAGACCAGAAATTTCTCATTTTTCATTTCAAGTACATACTTAATTTTTCAGTCTTTTGGTTTTCTCCCATGTATGGTGTCAGCCCGATGGGTTTCAAGTTACGAAACATATAGTTGGTGTTATATTTGGTGTTTGACACATAAGCGGCACCACCCAAGTCAAGACACCAAAATGTGCCCTTAGGAGCAGCTAACATGCTCTCAAAGACAACACATGCCTATTCTTTATTCCCACCCTTGTTTATATTACACCTACAATTCTTAGGTCTGCACACAAAGCTTTGGGCCCCATGTATTTCAATAAATTTAAAATTTATCAATTTTTTTAAAAAATAATAAATATTTTTATTTTCTCTTTGAATTATTGATTACCTGAAAATGCAGTTTAAGCTTATTCAAAAATCAATTTGAAGAAATAAAATATCCATAGACTTCTAAAAATATATTTTAATAGTTTAAAAATTATTTATAATCAAATAAATTATTTTCAAATTAATTTGATGGGAATTGGGTCCAACTTTGTTAAGAAAAATACACAAATACTGAGACACTCTATTTCTGCTAGTGACCATGTCTCACGCTCACTCAACTGACGTAGTAGTTCCCATGACCCATAGTCCATCGCAACGCTTCATGATTGGTTATCAAAGCCAACTAATAGATGATAAGAATACAATCTAGGAATTGCATGTCCCACTTGGGGCAAGCCTAAGTCACACAGACATATGTACACACATGGTAATTGGTGCATGGGGGCTATCTTTAGTATATGTACATGCGACACCCTAAATGGTGTTATCTTCCCAACACAACTATCATATGTACATGACATGTGATATTCTATGATGAGGGTTTAACTCTTATTAAGCTTGCCAATCACATAAAAGGGTCACACAATCTCTAGGCTAACTATCCTGGGTATCTCGCTGAGCTCATTAAGGGGTAACCCTGCTAACCCTTCGTAGTTGTGGTAAATGCCCAAGTATTACAGGGTTTTAGAACTCAACTAACCTAGCTCACCCAGCCTAGTTTGAATCTAGATATTAGTATTGCCAACTTCAGTCCCTCAGGACTATACTCCCACTAGAGTCCATTATTCCACTATCATATAATTCATTACATGCTCTTGTAAGGTATTTAAATGGCCACAAAAACTCTACAACTTCTCCACTTTGCGCATCTAACTCTAATTCTATGTGGGACAACTTTCTTAATGTCTCAATTTTATTGGATTATCGACCTAAGATATCAAAAAGTACACTCCTTTGTCTTTCTTGATAAATTTTAATACTCATTTCGTCATTTTGATATGTCATTTGATGGATTATTGAAATTATATAGTAAAAGATGGATAATATGTTAAATAGTTCAAATCTTAGGTATACTTAGGCAAATTTCCCAAAACACTTATCCATACCTTTTGGATAATCCACATGATAGCAAAATGAAAAAAAAGACTTGATCATAAAATAGAACTTATGCGGGATCCTTTTAAGTACAATAGAAAATACTCATAAGAGATGAACTATTTAACATTTTATATAAATATTTTTATTTAATTTAAAAAATTCTATAAAAGCAATTATGAACATGAGTTAGAGTAGTTAAAAACCGGAAAAATGTTAAATCAATTTTAGTTTATTTTTATAACTTTTGTCAATATAATTTTGACATAAATTTCCAAGACAATTTGATGTACTCCTTTAACTTCCCTCAAAATGGTGAAGAACAAAAGTGGCCATTCTTTAGTTTTTGTCTTTCTGATAATTAAAACAATAATAAACCGCTTTCCATGTCAATTCTTGATTTCAAATTTATAACTCAATGGGCTGCAATAAACAATAATAATTAGAATAAAATAAAATAAAATAGATGGAACAAGCTTTTTTTTTGGTCATATGAGTGGGGGAGAAGGCCCCCTACCCCTTTATATACCAAACAAGCTTAACAGAATATTGGGTTATCCGGATCACCGATTTTTAAACATTGGGTTAAACACTAGGAAACCATTACACTCATACTCTGGCATGACATTGGTGGAACATATATATTGCATTGCCGACTTGAGAGAGAGAGAGAGACATTGGGGGAACATATATATTGCATTAACAACTTGAGAGAGAGAGATGGGGTGGTAACGGGTAGGGCTTGGGTTGGGTCCTACTAGACCCGGACTCAGACCCAAATAGATTTGAGTCTAAAAATTGGACCCATGCCCATACCTATCAGGTCTCAAGTCCATTGTCACCCTCATTATGAGCTTATATTTTTTTATCATCATATTCTCGTATTATTGGCCACAAGGTCACAATCACCCTCTATTAGATTTCAAGCCGTGTGATTTGTTGTTTAAGCGCTAAAGATGACCACTAGTTTTAAGTATATATGATTATTAATACACCCAATTGAATAGAGCTTAAAGTAAAATATTTTTATCTATAACAATTTACAGGTACAGGTAGGGTCCAACTGACCCGTATAGTGTTTGGGTCCAAGTTTTTAACCTGGATTTGACCCGCCGGGTCCAAATGCTAGATTCATACCTTGTTGGGTGAGTGTGGCCATTAAAGGCCTTATGAGTACTTGTAAAATGAAATGCTATAGTGAAACATGAACTAAGTGGGAGTGTGGTCCTCGTAGACCATACTAAACAAACGACGTTTACTGATACTAGGCTGTGCTTGACGGTTTAGGCTAGTTGATTGTGAAAAACTCATGTTACCTGGGCATAGAGTACAAACCGATAAGGGTTCTAATAGGTTATCCCTTGATGAGGTCGGAGTATGCCCGGATGAGTAAGCCGAGGGAATATGTGACGCATGTGTATGATGGTGAGCTTTAGAGACGGAGGCTAAAGCCTCATCCATGTACCATCACACGTTATGCATATTGATAGACCGTTTTGGGAAAGCAAGCCACCTTTCAGGGTGAAGCATATGCATGTGCGAGAGATACCCCTATGCGTTATAGGAGCTGCGATCGTAGCAGGTCTAGGTGACCTTAGCCCGTCTCTAGAGGAGAACTTGAGATCCACAGATTGGGATTGCGATCCCTTGGCTCATCGGTCAGACTTTGGTGGCCCACTAATGAGCTCCTGCATAGACTGTGGGTCATGAGAAACACTGGGTCGATTTGATAAAGTAAGTGTAGTCTGTAATCTATAGTTGAAGGTGGAGTGTCTCAATGTTTGATTGATTTAATTCCTAGATCATATGGAACCTTTTCCCATATAATGAATTTAATTATGTTTGTTTTATGATATATATTGATTTTAGAATTATTATTTGAAATTTTTTATATCTTTGAATATTTTATTTATCAAATTTGAATTTATAAAATCAGAGATATTGATTTTACATTGATTTAAATATTCAAACAAGTTCTAAGATTACATTGTTGAATTTTAAAAATATTTAAAATTGCATGGGGCCCCATTGTGCGCAGGGGCCCACCATGGCCTAGATGGTGGGGCCCATGAGATCCTTTCATGGGTGGCACGCCCCACCCGTTTAGAAGCTTTCTATTTTTGTGATAAGTGATTTTGGTTTGTAGGCCAAGTTGCTATGTATTTTGGAAAGAAATTGGCTTGATGAAGCGTTGAATGAATTTTTGGAAAGCATGAGAAGGCTTTGCTATTATTTTGGTATGCGGAATATTATATTTGAAATTATTTTATTTAATTTCTATTGATGGAAAAATGGCTTAAGAAAGAGGGATAGAGGTTCTAGCACCTTCCATAATGATGATGACCCATCTACGGAATGGATGACTCGAATATTTCACCCCACAAGTCACCCATGATCAATGGTTCATTTGAATCTCACATGAGAGACGAGCCAAGGAAAATCCTAAAAAACTCTAATCTTGTTCAAAGCCTATAAAA